ATCAAATCAACTACGCCTAAAGTCAGTCAAGGGATAGACAAAGAGTACAGATTATGATACCTAATATGTGAGAATAGATGAAGAAGAAAAAGGAGGAAAAAAAAGAACCTTTAGGTTGTGTTTGTGGTAGAATACTAAGTGAGATAAATAAGACTGTTACATAGTAAGGGAATTACCCTTGAACCTTTGCTAACCACGAATCTAAAGCATGCAATAGCGGTAAGTACCTAGCTATCGATAATTACCCTAAATGTAAATGGTCTGAAAGGACCAATCAAAAGACACAGAGTCACTGAATAGATAGAAAAACAAGACCTGTCTATATGCTGCCTACAGGAGACTCACTTCAAACCCAAAGACATACACAGACTGAAAGTAAAGGGATGGAAAAAGAAATTTCATGCAACTAATAGAAAAAAGCAAGAGCTGCAGTACTTTTATCAGACAAAATAGACTTAAAATGAAGAAAGTAACTAGAGACAAAGAAGGTCATTACATAATGATAAAGGAGTCAGTCCAACAAGAGGATATAACTATTATAAATATGTATGCACCCAACACAAGATCACCTACATATGTGAAACAAATACTAACAGAATGAAAGGGGGTAATAGAATTCAATGCATTCATTTTAGGAGACTTCAACACACCACTCACTCCAAAGGACAGATCAACCACACAGAAAATTAGTAAGGAGACAGAGGCACTGAACAACATATTAAAAAAAAATGGACCTAACGGACATCTGCAGAATACTCCATCCAAAGCAACAGGATACACATTCTTCTCAAGTGCACATGGAACATTTTCAAGAATAGATCATATACTAGGCCACAAAAAGAGCCTCAGTAAATTCAGAAAGAATGAAATTGTACCAACTAGCTTCTCAGATCACAAAGGTATGAAATGAGAAATAAAATACACAAAGAAAATGAAAAAGTCCACAAACACATGGAATCTAAATAACATGCTCCTAAATAATAAATGGATCAATGACTGAATAAAAACAGAGATCAAGCAAGATATGGAGACAAATGACAACAATAATGCAACACCATAAAATCTGTGGGACACAGCAAAGGCTAGGCTAAGAGGGAAGTATATTGCAATACGGGCCTACCTCAGGAAAGAAGAACAATCCCAAATGAACAGTCTAAACTCACAATTAAAAGTAGAAAAAGAAGAACAAATGAAGCCCAATGTCTGTAGAAGCAAGGACATAATAAAGACTGAAGCAGAAATAAATAAAATTGAGAGAAATAACAATAGAATAAATGAAAGCAGGAGGTGGTTCTTTGAAAAAATAAACAAAATAGATAAACCCCTAGGCAGTCTTATTAAGAAAAATAGGCAATCTACACACATAAACAATACAAAATGAGAAAGTAAAAATCACTACAGACACCAGAGAAATAGAAAGAATTATGAGAGAACACTATGAAAAATTATATGCTAATAAACTGGAAAATCTAGAAGAAATGGACAACTTTCTAGAAAAATACAACCTTCCAAGGCTGACCAAGGAAGAAACTGAAAATCTAAATAGACAAATTACCAGCAAGGAAATTTAATTGGTAATCAAAAACTACCTAAGAATAAAATCTATGCACCAGATGGTTTCACTGCTAAATTTTATCAAACATTTAGTGAAGACCTAATACCCATCCTCCTCAACATTATTCAAAAAGTTGAAGAGGAGAGAATACTCCCAAACTCATTCTATGAGGCCAGAATCACCCTAATACCAAAACCAGGCAAAGACTCCACAAAAAAAGAAAATTCCAGACCAATATCCTGATGAACATAGATGCAAATATACTCAACAAAATATTAGGAAACCAAATTCAAAAAATACATCAAAAAGGTCTTCCATCATACTCATGTAGGATTTATTCCACGGATGCAAGGATGGTACCACATTCAAAAATCCATCAACATCATTCACCATATCAACAAAAAGGACAAAAACCACATGTCATCTCCATAGATGCTGAAAAAACATTGACAAATTTCAACATCCATTCATGATAAAAACTATCAACAAAATGGGTATAGAGGGCAAGTACCTCAACATAATAAAGGCCATATATGATATCATAGTTAACAGGGAGAAGCTGAAACCTTTTCCTCTAAGGTCAGGAACAATACAAGAATGCCCACTCTCCCCACTTTTATTCAACATAGTTCTGGAGGACCTAGCCCCGGCAATCAGACAACACAAAGAAATAAAGGGCATCCAGAATGGCAAGGAAGAAGTTAAATTGTCCCTGTTTGCAGATGACATGATATTGTACATAAAAAACTCTAAAGAATCCACTCCAAAACTACTAGATCTAATATCTGAATTCAGTAAAGCTGCAGGATACAAAATTAATACACAGAAATCTGTTGCATTCCTATACACTAACAAAGAACTAGCAGAAAGAGAAATGAGGAAAACAATTTTATTCACAATTGCATCAAAAAGAAAAAAATACCTAAGAATAAACCTAACCAAGGAAGTGAAAGACCTATACTCTGAAAACTACAAGACACACATGAGAGAAAATAAAGAAGACACCAATAAATGGAAACACATCCCATCCTCAAGGATATGAAGAATTAATATTGTCAAAATAGCCATTCTGCCTAAAGCAATCTACAGATTCAATACAATCCCTATCAAAATACCAACAGCATTCTTCAATGAAGTAGAGCAAATAGTTCTAAAATTCATATGGAACCACAAAAGACTCTGAATAGCCAAAGCAGTCCTGAGAAGGAAGAATAAAGCTAGGGGGATTACACTCCCCAACTTCAAGCTCCACTACAAAGCCACAAGAATCAAGACAATTGGTACTGGCACAGGAACAGACCTATAGACCAATGGAAAAGACTAGAGAGCCCAGATAAAATTCCAAGCATATATGGTAAATTAATATACGATAAAGAGCCATGGACATACAATGGGTAAATGACAGCCTCTTCAACAGCTGGTGTTGTGAAAATTGGACAGCTACATGTAAGAGAATTAAACTGCATTATTATCTAACCCCATACACAAAAATAAACTCAAAGTGGATCAAAGATCTGAATGTAAGTCATGAAACCATAAACTCTTAGAAGAAAACACAGGCAAAAATCTCTTGAATATAAACATGAGAAACTTTATCCTGAATGCATCTCCTTGGGCAAAGGAAACAAAATAAAAAATGAACAAATGGGACTACATCATGCTATAGAGATTCTGTACAACAAAGGACACCATCAGCAGAACAAAAAGACATTCTACAGTATAGGAGAATATATTTGTAAATGACATATCTGACAAGGAGTTAACATCTAAAATATACAAAGAACTCACACGCCTCAACACCCAAAAAGCAACTAACCCTATTAAAAAGTGGGCAGAGGATATGAAGAGACAATTCTCCAAAGATGAAATTCAGATGGCCAGCAGGCACATGAGAAGATTTTCCACATTGCTAATTATCAGAGAAATGAGATGATATCACCTCATGCCAGTTAAGATGGCCAACATAGAAAAGAATAGGAACAACAAATGCTGACAAGGATGCAGAGAAAAGGGAATCCTCCTACACTGCTGGTGGGAGTGTAAATTAGTTCAACAATTGTGAAAGCAATATGGATGTTCCTCAAAAAACTAAAAATAGAAATACTATTTAACCTGGGAATCCCACTCCTTGGAATTTATGCTAAGTATGCAGGATTCCCGTTTCAAAAAGACATATGCGCCCCTATGTTTATTGCAGCACTATTTACAATAGCCAAGAAATGGAAGCAACTTAAGTGTCTATCAGTAGATGAATGGATAAAGAAGATGTGGTACATATACACAATGGAATATTATTCAGCTGTAAATAGAAAAAAACTCCTACCATTTGCAAAAACATGGATGGAGCTAGAGGGTATTATGCTCAGTGAAATAAGGAAGGTGGAGAAACACAAGTACCCAGTGATTTCATTCATCTGTGTAGCATAAGAGCAAAGCAAAAACTGAAGGAACAAAACAGCAGCAGACTCACAGAACCGAAGAATGCACTAATAGTTGCCAAAGAGAAAGGGACTGTAGAGGGTGTGTGGGAAGGGAGGGAGAAGAGGCTTAAGGGGCATTGTGATTAGCACACATAATGTAGGGGGCGTTATGGGGAAGACAGTATAGCACAGAGGAGACAAGTAGTGACTCTATAGCATTTTACTATGATGATGGACAGTGACTGTAATGGGACATGTGGTGGGGACTTGATAATGGGGGGAATCTAGTAACTATAATGTTGCTCATGTGATTGTATATTAATGATACCAAAATTTTAAAAAGGAATCATTGGACTTAAAAAATTAGCAAAAAACATTATAAATTTATAGGTACACTGTCATTAGCAGTAATCATATGGTAATCTGATTCTTCAAGACAAGGTCTGTCTTTTGTTACTTTTATATTCCCTAAATAGCAATTCCAATGTTCTGGTTATATGGTAAATAAATAAGAAGGATGTAAAGATTAGTTCAGGTAAACTAATTTTGAAATTAAGTTTTTCAATGTAAAGTGTATTACTGGTTGCTTAATTATTTTTATCAAAATAAAAATTAAAATCTTTGTTTTATTTTAGAGCCAAATGTGTACAAGCAATAGGTTAGTTTATAGATAATGAACCAGAGAAATCACAAAACTGAAAATTGACACAAAGATCAAAGTGGCAAAAGCAAACAAAAAAATGACCCTAGAGCAAGTTTGCACTTATTACACATTTTCATGAACAATAATATATTAGTCAAATACATCATGTTATAGAAATATGACATACTATGTTGAAGTTCAATCTTTGGCAGAATTTCCTTATAAATATAATTCCAAAGCATCTTGTCGATGAAGACAGTTTGAAACTTTATTTAAAGGATATAAACCTTTAGCATTTTAAAAGAAAAAAATTCAAATCCCAGTCTTATGTATCATAATCTAAAAGTAAAACATACGAATTACTTACACCTCATATTCTCACTTGTCCAACCAGTATAGGTAGAGCAATCATGTGAATCAGCTGTCTTCAGCCCTTCTTCCATTTGCTGTAGAAGATCTTTGATTTTGTTCTGGATCCTCCTTGCAAAATTATAAATAATCTGAGAACCAAAAGAAGACACAAATTTAAATTGCACAAGAATAGAACAGTGTGGTAGCAAATACTTTCAGTCTGAATAGGAAGAATGTAACAGACAAATTATATTACTTGGCCCATTTCAGTACTTCATTGACTAGAGGGAGTCTACTTTGGTTTTATAAGGTAAATTTAAATGAAATAATGCCCTATATGAGCTACAAATCACAAGCACCAGAGAAAAAAAATGAAAGAAACAAGAAAAAGATGGATTTAACTACACAGATATTTTAACTTCTATGAGTGAAAGAACATAAGAAATCTGGTTTAAAAGTTAATGAAAAGTGGAAATATTTGCAATATAAAACACAAAAAAGACCAGAATAATACAAAATAGATCAATGTACCTCCTAAAAAGAAAAAAATGACAAGCTTATGCAAAAATGTCCAATCACTTAGCAATTAATGAAATGTAAGTAATTACAAATACTACAGATTGTCTAAATAATAAAACCACTTAAAATATTTAAACACCAAGGCTATGAGCTAAGGAAACAGGTACTCTTGCATCTGGTAGTCTTTCCCAGGGGAAATTTAGCAATATTCCCAAACTCACAGTTGATAGTGCTGTTCAGGTTTTTCTGCTGTTAATGATTTTTGAAAAATCCAGTTGCTGTATCAATTGGAATGGTAATTAAAATACTAATTATGCATATGGAATTGTCTACTTCTCCAATATTTTTAAATTTTATGTATACTTTTTTTTCTTCCATTAGGCACAGAAAAATTCATCACCGTGATGTCTCCCTGATAACTGACTCATTACCATAATGGAATGCCCCCTGTAGTACTTTAGTGAAATTATGTTACTGCAGTTAGGGCTTTCAGTGCAAATTTTACTGAAATTTGGGAATCTGGACAAAAGCCAACCCTAGAATTTAAGTTACAATTGGAATGTGGAAAAAATGCAGAGTAGGAAGGCAAGGCAAAACCCTCCTCCCATACACATGCCAAGGAAGCCACTACAGTGAATACAACTGACCCTGAAAATGACCTGAAGCCTGCAGAACAGACCACCTACACCTGGGGAAGAAGAGGAGACCACACCAGCAAGGGTAAAGTGGAATAGCCATGACCAATTAGGACCCCAGCCCTTCCCCCATCCCAGCCCACAAATGGGAGGGAGAGGAATGGAGTGGGGAGTGGACAGGCAGCCAGGAACTCTGCACACCTGACCCGATAGATCTGCTCTGGGAACAGGAGTCCACATTGCACCAGGTTTTGGTGATTACCAGGGCTGGATACCAGGAAGAGTGGGAACACTTGCAGAGCCTGGAACTCCAGCTGCTTGTAGAGGCCAGGCATGCTTCAGCAGTCCCACTGAGACCCAACACAGACATGGTGGTTTGAAAGACTTGCCAGCAGTGGGGGCGGTGCCAGAGGAGTGAGGGTTGGACGGGGCACTCTCCACAGAGGAACCAGCAAGTGGACTATACTTTCCCAGCCGTCCTCAGCCCATCTGGCTGAGTGTTTGCAAAGCCAGCTCCAAATGCTCCATCTCCCTCGCTGGTGGCTCAGAGCTGGGGTGTGCTTCCCTGTATATCCAGCTAGCTGCTTGGCCCAGCAGTGGTCAGAAACAGTCAGACTTCACTGTCTGGCAGGCAAAGGGAGGTTTTTACAGCTTTCTCGGCCCTCTCTCAGCCCAAATGGGGAGGCACCTGTGGGAGACAGCTCCAAGTGCCCCATTTCCCTCACTGGTGTACCCCCCTACATACCCTGTGCACCCCACCAGCCCAGCATCCCCACCAATGCTGCCTGGCAGGCAGAAGGCAACCCTGCCCATGACTTCCCAGATGCACTGCAATGTTCACAAAAGGCCCCTGCTGACAGATCAGCCACTGCCTGCAGACAGGCAAAAAGGCGGCCCCACCCACAGCCCACCAATAGCAAATGCAGCTCCCCCACAAAGGAGAACCATGCACAGGTGAGCAAAGAGATGTGCTTCTGGGCACCACAGGGTGACTTCTTTATAAAACCATTACTATCTAGATGAGGAAGCAGAGCAGATCCATCTAATACAAAGGAAGGAACACAGAAACCCTGACTAAATCAAGAGCCCAGGAATGTTCCCAAACAAAAGAACAAAATAAGACACCAGAAAGAGGGTTAAGTGAAACAGAGACCACGAGTCTTCTTGATACAGATTTCAAAGTAACAGTTCTAATATGCTCACTGATCTGTGGAAAAGCATTGACTGTCTCAGTAAAAATATCAACAAGAGAGAGAACACTTGAGAAAGAGCTGCTGAGAGCTGAAGAATACAGTAACTAAAATGAAATATACAGTGGAAGGCATGAATAAGATTGCTACAAGTAGAGGAGAGAGTCAATGAGATGGAAATTAGGGAACAAGAAAACAATGAATCTGAGGAACAGAGAGAAAAAAGAATCTCTAGGAATGAAAGGATGTTGAGAACTGTGACTACTCCAAACATAACAATATTTGCATAATAGGGGTACCAGAAGGAGAAGAGGACAGAAAGTCTCTTGAAGAAATCACAGCAAGAAACTTCTCCAATTTCAGTCTGGAGGTAAAGTACAGAATTTTCAGAATCTCCCACATGGCCTTTGTCTATTTACATGTCAATAGGTATTTACCACTGCAGTTTCTCACAGCCTCTGGGGCAAGGGGTGGAGAGAGGATGGCCATCCTCTCCTTCCCTCTAATCCTGGTACATAATAGGTCTGGCATCTGTCAGTTGCCAGGGACTTGCCTGTGGAGTATCTCCAAGAAGGGGCAGGTGGAGAAGTGATTGCAGAGGCATAGACAGAGAACACGAAGAAGGCTGTGCTAGTGGAGACCCAGAGGAAAGGGAAAGAGCAAGAGTGGCAGCATTATAAGCAATAAAAAGCCCTTTCTCCCAATCTGCCTTTCCCTTGACTGATTTTGGTTCCACTGGTTCATCCGCCCAGAGCCGGGAACACCCGTTCCCTCAATGGAGCTGCACTGGGGAAGGAAACAGACACTCGGGTTCTGGAAGTACAGAGAGCCCCTAACAAAAGGAGCCCCAGGAAAACAAAGGCAAGACACATAGTAATTAAAATGGCAAAGATTAAAGATAAGAGAGAATATTAAAGCAGAAAGAGAGGCAGACAGTTATCTACAAAGAAAACTCCATCAGGCTATCAGCAGATTTCTCAGCAGAAATTTTACAGGCTAGAAGGGAGTGCCATGAAATATTTTAATGTATTGAAAGGGAAGGACAGAATTTTTCCAAATAAGGATGCTTCAAAGTGTTATAAAGCAAAAGCACACTGGAATAGATATCAATCACTGGCTGTAAGACTCCTTGTAAGATTTGACTGCACCTCTTATCCCACATAATATGCAAAGCATGTTCAAAAGAAGACGTACATTTCTTCTTCAGTGTTTTCATGGTATCAATCTTTGAATCAGGATGAGAGTGCTCTTTTCACAGAGAGAGAGACAGAGAGACAGAGACAGAGAGAGACACACAGAGAGAGAGAGAGAGAGAGAGAGAGAGAGAGAGAGAGAGAGAGGAGAAACAGACAGATAAACAAACATTGCATGATGTTAGGCAAACCAACCACCCCAGTTCAGTTCTTGAAAAAAGTTTCAGGAAGTCAAATTCTTCTTCAACCATATTTTTTCCACATACTTCATGAGAAAAATTATGGGGGAATAATTTTTTTGTCTGTTATCTCCTAAGACATGTACATACACACATACTGTGCACCTCTCTGCCTCACCTGCAGGTTCTACATGAGGTGTGCATTTAGGCTAGCATGTTCATAGGCTGTGTTCTGTATTACATTCAGAAAAAAATAAAAAGGATATGTAAATTTTACAAATATTACAGTTGATTAAAATGAAATGACACAGGGGAGAGGAAAAAAGATGGCCTGAGAAGTGTGGCAGAAATTTCCCCCAAACCACATATATTTTGAAAATACAGCAAATACAACTATTCCTAAAAGAGTGACTAGAAGTAATGGTACACTAGCCAGCCTACTTCCGGAAGAAGTCAACACCTCACGGAAAAGGGTAAAGTAAAAAGCCGCAAGCCATCAGGACCCAAGCACTACCCCCTCCCCAGCTCACCAGCAGGAGGAAGAGAATCAGAGTGGGGAGGGAGTGGAAGCACAGGACTGTTAACCAGCACTAGAAATCTACCCTGAGAGCACAGACCCACACTGCATGGTGCTCTGGAGATTAGAGGGGCTGAAAACCAAAGTAAGAGACTAAGACTGTGAACAACTTCCCACAAATGGCTACCCTGGGAGAAAAGAAAAGCAGGAGCTTTGTAGGACTTCTCAACAGTCAGAGAGCTGCTGAAGGGGCCAGCATTTAGGAGAAGGAACAGGTGGACAAAATCATCCTGGCACCCTCAGCCCAGCAGGTTGGGAACTTTCAGGAGCTTCAGGTGCTCCATCCCCCTGGCTGGCAATGCATCCCCGAGGTCCCTCACCATGATAAGCAGCCTGCTGCTCCTTCCTCCCTGCTGCCACCTGAGCGCAAACCTGCTGTCCTCACCACTGCTGCAGACGAGAAGGTGGGCAGCCCTGCCTACAGAAACTACACAGCATAACACAGAGGCTTTTCTCTGCACACGGCTAACCGGTCCAGACAGTGGAGACAGTCACAGTGACAGGGGAGAACAAAAGGGCTTTTCCCTCCCTGCAAACATCCGTGCCATCGCCAAGGCCAGGAGGAGAGCAGCCCCACCCATGGCAGTTTAAGAGATTAACCCACAGGTCACTCTCTGGGAGCGGCTAACTAGCCCAGAAAGTGGAGACAGGCACTGCGGCAGAGAAGCACAAAAAGGCTTTGTCCTCACGGCAAAACCTGCACTGCTCGCCTGCAACCCCAGCTGTCACCATAGGCATTCCTGAAGGTGGCCCCACCCACAGCAGATAAGGGGACTAACCCAGAGGCCGCTCCTTGCATGTGGTTAACTGGAACAGACAGTGGAGAAAGGCACTGCATCAGGGAAGAAGGAAGGAACTTTGCCCTCTCAGCTGACACCCGGGCCATTCGCCTGCAACCACTCCCATTGCTCCAGGACTATGAAAAGACAGAAGCACCTTGTTCAGTGCAAAACCCCTCAAACACCAGAAACAGGGCTTGGTGAGAGAGACTGAAATTACTAGTCTTCCTGAAAAATATTTCAAAATAGAAGTCATAAGCATGCTAATGGAGCTACAAGAAGTACTGAACAGCTAAGGGATGAATTCAGGAGGGAAACAGACACCTTAAAAAATACAGTAACTGTAATGAAACAAAGGAGGGATTTAAAAGCAGATTAGATGAGGTAGAGGAAACGGTAAATGGAATATAAATTAGAGAACAGGAATACAAAGAAGCTGAGGCAGAGAGAGAAAAAAGGATCTCTAGGAATGAAAATAATAAGAAAACTGTGTGACCAATCCAAACAGAACAATATTTGCATTATAGGGGTATCAGAAGAAGAAGAGAGAAAAAGGGACAGAAAGTGTCTCTGAAGAAATAATTGCTGAAAATGTCCCCAATATGGGGAAGGAAATAGTCTCTCAGGCCATGGAAGTCCACAGACCTCCCAACACAAGGCACCCAAGGAAGACAACACCAAGCATATAATTTTTAAAAAATGGCAAAGATCAAGGACAAGGACAGAGTATTAAAGGCAGCTACAGAGAGAAAAAGATCACCTACAAAGGAAAACCTATCAGGGTATCATCAGACTTCTCAGCAGAAACCTTATAGGCCAGAAGGGAGAGACATGATATATTCAAAATAATAAAAGAGAAGAGCCTCAAACCAAGAATACTCTATCCTGTAAGATTATCATTTAAATTTGAAGGAGGGATTAAACAATTCCAAGAGAGGCAAAATTTCAGGAAATTTATCTTCCACAAACACTCCCTACAGTGTATTTTAAAGGGGCTGGTCTGGATGGAAGTGTGCCTAAGGCTAAATAGCAGTCACCAGAGAAAACAAATTCACAGCAAAGGAAGAAGACCCATTAAATACTAACCAAATGCAAAATTAAATCAGCTACCCACAAAGTCAGTCAAGGAATACCCAAAGAATACAGAATATGACACTTAACACATAAACAGAGGAGGAGGAATAAAAATAAGGGAGGGGAAAAAAAGAATCTTCAGAGTATGTTTATAAGAGCATAATAAGTGAGTTAAGATAGACTGTAGATAGTAAAGAAGCTGCCATTGTAGCTTTAGTAACCACAAATCCAAAGCCTGCAATGGCAATAAGTACGTATCTATCGATGATCACCCAAATGTAAATGGTCTAAATGCACCAACCAAAAGACACACATACAAAGAATGGATAAAAAAGGAAGACCC